CCATGAATGGATCCCAAGTTAATGTACTGTAGCCTTCTGCCTGACTTGGGGCAAAGCAGACCAGTACTTGGTATCTGTTCCGAGGAGCAGGTCTGCTCCTCGATTGGGACTCGCGCTCGTTTGGCTGCACACATAAAAATATGACTACACTTTAACAAAATATCTACTTTGGTTGAGTAAAGAGAGACTGGCATGACTGACTGATTACAAAAGGACATTGCAAATATTCGTATTAAATGGGCTTCGAAACTGTCGTTAAATCCCGAATAGGAACTGTTTGATACGGTTGAATTTTCCAACAGCGATATGAATTGAACTGCACACAGTCTTGCTTCCAGAAAAGATGTTCTTGTTCGTCGGTAACACTCCGGCGAATGTGCGAGGGCGGGTGGCCCTAGAACCAAGTCGGACTTGGCTACACTGAAACATGTGACCAGTTGGATTAAAATGGCCTTATTTTGAGCGTACAGGGCTCTTCCGAGTGCTCACAGTCCATATTTGGTCGCTTCGTTCAGGAATTTTATGCTTTCACACGTTTAGCCCAACCTTCCTTTGGCTGCCATCACTACCTTGACTCAAGTCGCCTTCTCTTGCCGACAAAAGCAACTGGGATTCGCAATACACATACATACACATAATCATATATAATATCCTTACTATGAAATTCGTTGCTTATTTATTCCCCTTTGTCTCCTTCTCTCCTGATTTGCCTTGTTTCCAACACTTTATTACGAACCCTTGAAGATGGCACAACATTCGTGAAAATGGTGTACTTTTCGCCCACCCAACGCATTCCGTCAACCTTGTCTGCTCGTCAATTGCTCGTCTGCCTTTAATCAACCGAAGTACAAACGTGACGTCCCCTCTTGGCGCTTGCATACAACCGGCTATGGGCCTTGTGTTCATGCCTAGGATATATACGAGCATTGAATGTCCGGGGCTTGGCTTCGCCTCATGTCAAGGCGGTAACCGAAGTGTGCTGATGATCGTCTGCCCATTAGTGAAAATTCGTCTGGGCTAGTGATAATGAGGTGGACAAGTCTAGACACAACGCATAGGCACGACGACATATTCAGTCCCTGTATACATGCGATAGACAGGTCGTTTTCATGTCCCCCCTCGCTCCCCATCCCCACAGATTCCAACTACTCAAGTCTCCCTCAATTCAGCTCGTTTTCACTCTCTTTCCTCTCCCCTTCGTTGCCACTGGAGCCGTAAGCTCGGGCGGTAATGGCCGAATCCCGCTTGCTCTGTAGGTGGCATTTAGAACTAATCCCCTTTGCAGTGTTTATGACCAACTAACTCACTTCCAACTCGGTCTCTCTGTCCACCCATCTCTCCGCGCTTCTCGCACCTGTACACACGCCCGGTTGCCTTGGTATTGGCCTTCTGGCCCACGTTCTCGTTACGGTTGCCCCGATTTGGCCTCCCGCGCCTCCCTCGATCCCCGAGAGCCCAATTGCTGTCCTTGGCAGGGTCCCGGGCAGGTGATGTGCTACTCACACGTTCTAGTCAATCTGTTGTCATGACATCAACTGGGCGCCATGGTTCCGAACAGTCTTGCATAAAATCTCTTGCCAAGTGTACTCTGTAGATGGGGCTAAAGGAATAAAAGGCATTTGAAAATTTCTCCTCATGCTTTTAAGAATGAGTCGAATCTGGCAATTATATTTCGCGGATAACGAGCCGTTGGTGATACATGAGAATCTAGTTACACTGAACCCTTGTCAACGAGGTTGCCTAAAGAACGTCAAGGCCTTAGAATAAGATAGGATAAGCACGTACCGGTGAAGTATGCTTTCTACGTTCTGCCGATCCTTCGAAAACCGGTCTAATGGATTATCATAGCATAAGAGGCCATGAATGGTTTATTGTGATCCAATACTGTTTCACTAGATCACGGCAGTGATAAGAGTTGATGCGGCTAGATCTGAAGAGGAGCTGGCTTCCGAAGACTTGCACAATAAATTATTTTCTTTACACTTTCCATTTCATTCGAGAAAACCTCAGACCGAAGGATAGCTTTGCAGTTGTCTGTGGATTTGTGTGAATAGCTTCTGTTCACACTGTCGCGTGAATCTAGCGAATCTCTGCTGGACTTTCGTTTATCACTTCAAGAGACGTGAAAGTGCCCAGATCTTGGAGAAATTTCCCGATGCATGTCCGGCTACAATATTCCAACCACTTACTTGGCTTAATCTGGGTCATGGCTTCCACCTTGGTCTTCATACATGCGATTAAACATCATGCAATTGGGGGTTGGCAGGATTGGATCCGTCATGATTGAGACGTCACGACTGTTGGGTATCCAACAGCGCAATACAAGTCCTGGGAGGCCTCCTCCTCGGTATTTGCAGATTGAAATCTGTCTGAATTAACGCCTCTCCCCGAGCTTGTCTTTTAAGTCCGTTTTGCACCACTCGTTTTTCAGAGAACTCGCATGCCTATACT